GGCATTTGTACACCTCCCATATCCCCGGCTGTGCTGGTAAGGTAGGTAGTGCCACCCCCATTTTGCAGGCGAGGCAACAGATTCAGAAAGAGTCAGCAGTGTTTCCAGGACCACAAAGCTGGTGGGGCTGGGGCTGAACGCAGGACTCCAACCACAACCCAATTTTTTTTCTTTTCATTTCCCATCCTTCTGAGGAAGCCAGATTTTTATCAAACCTCATGGTTCCAAAAGTGCCTCGGAAGGCGATGCCCACCTCCCGGGGCTGGAAGTCCTCCTCTTCCAGGCCCCAGCGCGCCCGGTGGAAGCGGTAATACACCAGGTTCTGCTGCATGACACTGTCCTCGGGGTCGAAGAGCATGTAGCTGGCAGCACTGCGGGCAGCCTGGCGGACATCATTCACTGCAGACAGAAGAGGAGTGAGGAGGAGCCTTGGCACTGCCCCACCTTCAGGGATGATCCCCACCTCACCCACTCCTATCGCCCCATTCAGTCCAGTGCCCCTGCCTCCCCAGCCATCTTGCAGAATATCTTTGGGTGCCTCACCCCACTCAACAATAATGCAAGCTAGCATGTACTGGGCACTTACTCTCATTTAAGACTCATTTAAGACTCAACGTTACTGTTATCTTCATTTTCCAGATAAGAAATTCAAGGCACAGAAAGGTTAGGTAAACTGGTCAAGCTCACACAGCTGGAGAATGATGTCACTAGGGAATTAGAGGCCGGTGACAGCCCTCAACCACTTAGCCAACTGGACCCATGAAGGGTCTCCTGGCCCCTTGGTCCTCAGCCCTTCCACTCCAACTCAAGCCTCTGTCTGAATCTTGGCATTTCTGCATTGCAGGAACCCTTGCATTGCAGATTGTCCATCCCAGCGCCCTCTTGAGGCTAGGATCTCCCTCAAATCAGGAAAGTCTTAAGTCCTGGTGCTACTTTAAAAAAAAAATTTTTTTTAATTGATTCTTAACGAGAGAGGAAGGGACAGGAAAAGAGAGAAACATCCATGTGAGAAAGGTTGCCTCATGCACACTCCCTACTGGGGATCAAGCTGGCAACCCGGGTATTTGCCCTGACCAGGAATTGAACCGTCAACCTTTCCGTACAGGAGACAACACCCAACCATCTGAGCCACACTGGCCAGGGTTCTGGACCTTTTTTTTTTTTCATCCTCACCCAAGGACATTTTTGCATCCATCTTCAGAGAGCAGGCGGGAGAGAAGGACAAAGCGAGAGAGAGAGAAACATCGATGTGAGAGGAACACATTGAGTGGCTGCCATCCACACGATCCCACCGGGGCCAGGGACAAACTGCAGCTGAGGTACGTGTCCTTAGCAGGAACCGAACCCGGGACTCTCTGGTCCACGAGTCGATGCGCCAACTGCTGAGCCAAACCGGCCAGGGCGGTTTCTGGTACTTTTTATTTTAAATATATTTTTATTGATTTTTTTTTTTTTTTATATATATAGAGAGAGGAAGGGAGACAGGGAGAGAGAAACATTGATGAGAGAAACATCAATGGGCCGCCTCCTTCATGCCCCCTCCTAAGGATCCAACCCTCAACCTGGGCATGTACCCTGACTGGGAATCAACCAGTGACCTCTCAGTACATGGGACGACGCTCAATCCACTGAGCCACACCGGCCGGGTTGGTGCTACTTTTTATTAGCTATGTGCCTAACAGCCCCTTGTCCTCTATGAGACTCGGTTTCCTTATCTGAAAAATGGGCCCAGTAATGTCAGCTGCAGAGGGGCAGTGAGAGGATCAAATGAGATAAACAGATGTGGCAGGCAGTGCAATTGTTGGCTATCTAGTCATTTAGCCAAGAGGCCCTGAAATCCTGCCCTGAGGCTGCACTGTTTTCTCCCACAGGCCTCTCACTTGCCCTCCCCCCCCCCATTGCCCTCCCAATCGCCCAGAGGCCTCAATTTTGAGGGACAGCTTCCCATGACTCTGCGATGCTCCCAGTGTAGTGCTCTCCACTCCCCCCCCCCCCCACTCCAGCCCACCAGGAGGCTCACACTTGTAGTAGGCAAACTGCAGGTAGTGATACATGGTGGCCACAAACTTCTCCACGAAGTAGCCACCCACATTGGGGGTCAAGTTGGCCTCACAGTCCACCTTGCATTGCAGGGATTCTGCAAAGAGATCTAGGGGGTGAGATGCAGTGGTGAGAAGCTGGTGGTATGCTGAACAGCTCCATTCCACGGATGGGGTGACAGAGATAACTTCCAGTCCCAGCTCTGCCTGCAGAGCCTGTTGCAATCACATGAGATAAGGCAGGTAGGATAAGTAATGCTGAGGAAGACTACTGTGGACAGGGCTGACTTACCACCTATAGCTCCGCTCTCTTGGGGGAGTGAGTGGCAGGTGAGGTTTGGAAGCGAGACTGACACCCAGGACAGCCCTTTATGCCCTGCACTGAGGGACCTCTGCAGTTAGGGACCCCCAGACTAAGTGTGATTTCTGGCCACAAACTGCTTTTGGTACATACGTGCTGGGCTGTTTCCCATCTCGGTTGGGCCCCTTTGCACCTGCATTGGCCTCTGCCTGGAAAGCCTGTGAACCCAACCTCCCCAGACCCTTCTGGGATGTCACTGCCTCTCTCCACCGATGCCCAGCACCCTGGACACTCCAGACTGCAGCCCTTCAGCAGCCAGTGGCAAGGAATCTGTTACCCTGTCTGCCTCTCTCAGCCCACGGCACACTCCACACTCCCAGGGGCAGGATAACACCTGACTGACTCCTCACCACCTCCCAAGCACTGAGTAGGTGCTCCATACATGTGTTAAGGGGCCTGAGTTGTTCTGAGAAGCAGGGCCCAGTGGTGGTTGGGAGGGATGCGTGGTGGGTTTGGGTGAGAGTACCTGCTATGGCAGGGTAGAAGTCCTTGAAGTCCACCTGCTCGTGGGCCCCCTCGCAGCCAGCCAGACACCTGGCGAAGATAGCCAGGTACTCGGCCAGGGCCCTCTCCATGTCCTCTGTGCTGCTACGGAAATCCCCGCTATTGTAGAGCTTCACGGCCCTGAGGAACACGGCCTGGAAGGGACCGTCCTGGGGGTCAGGGGGACCCCCAACACTCTCCTCCTCTACAAGTCCTATAGGGGGGTTTGGGAAAAGCTTTAGGGCTAGCCCTCCCCCTCCATCCCACCTCATAGGGCTGAGCCTCCAAGTCGATGAGGGGCTCCTCGGCTGCATCCAGCAGCCCCCGATAGTAGTTGAGATACTTGGTGGTTAGCTCGTGCTTGGGGTTCTTCTGGAGAAAGGTGTAGGCCGCGGCCAACGCCTTCTCCAGCCGGTTAGCCTGTGGGGTGGGGACAGAGAGGGTCGGTAGGGCCAGAGCCCGCTGCCCCGAGCGCACAAGAGGGCTTGGGGATCGATGACAGCCACCGCTCCTCCGCTCCCCGCGGGAAACCCGACGCCGGCTGGGAGCGACTGGGCGGAGCAGGGCCTGGGGCGGGAGGGGGACACAGGGCGGAAGCCCACCTTGAACTGCGCATAGTGCAGGTACTGGTAAGGCAGTCGGCTCTGGAAGTCGCGCAGCAGCTGGCGCGGCGGGTAGGGCACCTGGAAGGCGGGCAGCGTCCGCTTGCAGCGCCGCAAGCAGGCGGCGCGCTCCAGGACGTGGCCGAAGAGCCGCAGCTCGCGGGCCCACTCGTCGCCGCGGGCGCCGTCGGAGCCGGGCGCGGGCCCGAGGGCCGAGGCGGCGGGCGGCGCGGGCCCGCTGCAGTTGGCGTGGCAGAAGGCCTCGCTGTCCCGCAGCAGCCGGTGCAGCCGCAGCGCCGCTTCCAGGTAGCGCGCGCTCTCGCGCCAGCCCTCGCCCTCGTACTGCTCGAGTGCGTGCCCGTAGGCCGCGGCCAGCGGCATCAGGTCCTCGGGCGGGAAGCCCCGGAAACTGTACTTCTCGTACTGCGCCTCGGAGCTGCCCAGGAGCAGACACAGCAGCACCCAAGCCGCCCGCCCCATCTCCCCACCGCGCCGGCCGGCCGGCTCTCCGCACGGAGCTAGCGTCCAGGCCCGGCCAGCAGGCCAGCGGGCGGGGTAGGGCCGGCCGGCGTGCCCACTGGGTCTTAGCGCCGGACGCCGTGGCAGCCAGGCATGTAATGGCCTGGGTCGGATCCCCGGAGGGGCAGAGGATGCAATGGTGGTGTCCTGAGTCCCCTACGTTGGCCCAGCTCCTTGTCCTTAGGCTTCCCCTCGACAGATGGGGAGATGCTCCCCGCAAGATGGGGAACCCAGAAAGCTCCTCCCCACGCAAAGACAGTCCCCCCCACCTTAAGATCGTAAAATTGAGGGAAGTGCCACCACCCTCTATTTTGCCCAAGCCCTAGAGTCTAGTTTTCCGTCCACCACAGCGCCCCTTTTGTACACGCCCCACCCCCAGTCCTGACGGGTCACTCCAAAGCCCGTCCACCGAGCCCGCGCCGGGGCTGCGCACACCTGGTGTAACCCTGCACACCCTCCCCTCACCACCTCCTCCTACTGGATCTCCATCCCACGTCAGAAAGTCCTCTGGTAGTCCAGCTTGTGTCGGGCACAGTAGCTCCTCGTCCCTGACTCGAGGGGCGGTCCCTGGGGCAGTAGGGAGGGGGGGAGCACTGAGATACCCTCAGATTCTTAAGCCTCGTCAGCCTCCAGGAGAGGCTTTTGATTTGGGGGTGCCAGCAGAAGCAGCAAGGGATGCCTCAGCCAGGCTTTAGGACCCCGGGGGCTCCGGAAAACACTGAACTTTTTCTTTTCGGTTGGGAGTCAGCTCCGACTTCTCATCTTTCTGGAGCCTCCCTCCCCGGCTAGGCCCCCGGTCTCTTAGCCCCGGGTGGGGGAAGAGGAGAGAATCTGGAGTTCTTTGTGGTGCATTCCTCGGTCTCCAACACTCTCAGCCTGGCCCCTTCCTCCCATTCCACTCCCAACCCCCTCCCACCAGCGCAGTCTCCCCAGCCCCCATTCCACGTGGACCAGCCAGGGCGGGGTGGGGAAGGACGACAGGAAGAGGGGGAGCCTGCTCTGGGAGGAGGGGTGGGGAGGAGGTTGGTGGCGGCTCCTCTCTCGCTCGCCCTCACTGCCGGCCATCCCAGCTCCAGGCACCATGTTCCGCGCGGGGCCCCCCAGCCACACCCTCCTGCGGCCCCTACTGCTGCAGATGTCCTTGCTGCTAGTGCTCGCTGTGGGCCGGGGGCTGGGCCGCGCCAGCCCGGCCGGGGGCCCCCTGGAAGACGTGGTCATCGAGAGGTACCACATCCCCAGGGCCTGTCCCCGGGAAGTGCAGATGGGGGATTTTGTGCGCTATCACTACAACGGCACTTTCCAAGATGGCAAGAAGTTTGACTCGAGGTAATGGGTTGGGTGGCCCCCGGACTCTCCACTCCTCTTCCCTGAGCCAGAAGCGGGCGCTCTTCGTTCCTGGGCTTCCTTGGTGCCCTTTCAAGCTGTCTACATTCCGGTACTCACTCCATGATCCCCTAACCCCAACACAGCACCTTGGGTGGGGGTGGGGAGGCCTCCCAGGCATCCATCTCCACAAAGATCTATCTATCCTCTGCTCTCAGTTTCAAAACTTTGCCTCTCCCAGGCTCCCAATTTCTTTCACACAAGCTCCCCCATACTCCCCAAAGTGCGTTGATAACCAGGGGGAACTGCTCAAATTTACCAACCCTTTATTTAGAGACACAGGGAGGGGGACTTCTAGTCCCAGTGTTGGGGGGAAGAACATGGTCTCTGATGCATATAATCCTCCAATGGTCTCAGCCAGGGACCCCTACATTCCCACCCACCCTGACTCCCTTCGGGTTCTGGCCCCAGGTTTCAGTGCCTTTGTGGTTAGAGAAGAGGGAGTAGAACTTTTTTTTGGAGGGGGTGGCAGTTAGCAGCCAGCCGGTAAGCAGCCTGCCACATAATAAGACAGCAGAATGGATCTGGGAGTGTAGGGACCCTGTCTACGTGTCACAGGGTCGGACCTGCCATCCTGGGCTCCTCGGAGGATTTTCATACCTCCGTCTCCAGGTCTACCTGCAGCACCATCTCCCTCCATCTTAGTTAACTGTACCAGGCCAGGGCTGCCACCAACTTGCCAGCCTTGGAGTTTGAAAAACCGGCTTCTGCTCTGGTCCTGGCTTTTGGTCTGCTCTGGCAAATCCACCTTTGTTGGTGGGGGTAGAGCAGGGCTACATGTCAGTCTTGATTAAACCTTAGGTCTCAGTGACACACAACCTCCCACACCGCACCTCAAGAATTCAGTTCCTCTTAGATTTTTTCCCGAAACACACAACTGGTCCCATGAGAAATCAGTGGCCAGGCTTTGGGGACAGGCAGTATATTGGATAAGAAGACAAACTCCAGAATCCAGACCCTGGGTTCAAATGCAGATTATGACCATGGACAAGAAATTTTGCCTCTTGAAGCTTTACTTTCTTTATCTGGAAAATAGAGATAACAAACAATCTGAAAAAAAAAAAAATGAGTCCCTACTTCCCAAGACTGATGATAGGACTCAAACAAGATGATGAGTGAAAGCGGACTTGACGGTGTCCAGAAGTCCGAAAGGGTTCAATGCTCATTAGCCTTGACTCTGGGGAGGACCAAATGCCCTGATAGTGTTTAACTGGTGCTTGGGGCCTCACAGTAACGCTGTGAAGGAAGCCGCCAGTCGTAAAACCAGCTCAGTGGGCAAAAGGAGGTGTAGGCGGCAGCCAGTACAGTCCTGAGCCCTTGACTGCCAGGCGTGGGCTTTGGGGGGTGACTTCCCTGGGAGCCAGGTGGGGCCCAGTTTATTCAGTGCCGAGCCTGGAAAACTTTCATTATCCATGGCCCCCCTCAGCCAATCTCCCAGCCTTCCTTAACTTCTGAAAACTTGAAATAAATTAAAACTAACTAAAAACAAATAAGAGCCATGGCCGTTTTAGAACAGGCTCTTTCAGAACTGAAAACCAATCCCTGTCCCCCCCAGCGCTGCCTCCCCTTCCTTTCCGCCTTGGCTCATCGGTGCAGAGGCACAAATGGGGGCTTTGGAGTTACGCAAACCTGTATTAGCTGTGACCTTGAGTAAGGCCCTCAGTCTCTCAAGTCTCAGTGATTCTCATAAGAAAAATGAAAACAGTGAAAGTCTCCATTTTTTCTCATGAGAAAAATGAAAATAGCCCAGGTGGTGTGGCTCAGTGGTTGAGCATCGACCCACAGGCCAAGAAGTCACCAGTTCGATTCCCAGTCAGGACACATGCCCAGGTTGTGGGCCTGATCCCCAGTGGGGGGCATGCAGGAGGCGCCCAATCAGTGTTCTCTCTCATCAATGTTTCTGTCTCTCTCTCCCTCTCCCTTCCTCTCTGTTTAAAATCAATAAAGGGAAAAAATGAAAATAATGCCCACCTCACAGGAGAAAGAATTAATAAGATCATGAATGGCTCTGGCCGGTTTGGCTCAGCGGTTAGAGCGTCAGCCCTCCGTCTGGAGAGACCCGGGTTTGGTTCCCACTAAGGGCATGTACCTTGGTTGCAGTTTGTCCCCGGCCCGGTTGGGGTTGTGTGGGTGGCAACCTCTCGATGTGTCTCTCTCACATAGATGTTTCTCTCTCTCTCTTTCTCTCTTCCGCCCTCTCTCCCTCTTGCTCTCTGAATGCAAAAAGTGTCCTGAGGTGAGGATTAAAAAAAATAATAAAGATCATGAATGTAAACTGCCAAGCATTTAATCAGCATATCCTAAACCCTCAATAAATGTTCCTCCTCCCCCAACCCCCACCCCACGAAGTACTTAGCACTCTTTTGCTGTCAACAGATAGTAACAGTACACAGGCCTGCACCCACCCCTCTCCCAGGGGTATAAAAGCCCCAGACTCCTTGAGGACTTCCGATTTGTAACAGCGCAGCCTTTTAAGTTGGGGTCATGGCTGACCTCGAAAGGATGTGGGGAGCACGTTGATCTATGCCTATGGATAGGAGGGGGGTTGTGTACGCCTGGGCATGTGTATATGCACCTACACATGTATGTGACCATGGGCAGAGGGAAACATCTGGCTGTGTGTACCCTCACCTGTGCACACCTGAGTCCACTGTATCCCATCTGTCCCCTCTGTCCCTCAGCTATGACCGCAGCACTTTGGTGGCCATCGTGGTGGGTGTGGGGCGTCTCATCACCGGCATGGACCGAGGCCTCATGGGCATGTGTGTCAACGAGAGGAGACGCCTCATTGTGCCTCCCCACCTGGGCTATGGCAGCATCGGTGTGGGTGAGAAGGGCTGGGGTACAGGCATTGGATGGAGGAGACCAGGAGGTAGAATCAAGGACCCCAGAGCTAAAAAACCGAAGCTTAGAGAGGGAGATTGACTTTCCCAAGGTCAGGTGCCTGCACAGTATGAGTAGTGGCAGGTCTGGGACTAGAGTTTCTGTTTCCTGCCCCTGGGGTGGGACGAAGGGAAATCACGGGCCTGGGGTGGGATCATAGCTTGACTAGGAAGAAGGGAAACTAGAGGTGTGGAGGGGGAAGCTAAGCAGGATGCTCAGACCTCCACTCCACCCCCACCCTGGGGTCTGCATCAAACATGAGCTGCTGCTGCCTGACCCTCACAGCGGGGCTCATTCCCCCGGACGCCACCCTCTACTTCGACGTGGTCCTGCTGGATGTGTGGAACAAGGCAGACACTGTGCAGGTGAGCACCCTGCTGCGCCCACCCCACTGCCCCCGCATGGTCCAGGACAGTGACTTTGTCCGCTACCACTACAATGGCACACTGCTAGATGGCACCGCCTTCGACACCAGGTAAGGGCTGAGGGAGCCCTGGCGTGCTGGGGACAGTGGCATGGGGGCAGTGCACAGTCTTTCCCCCTCCTCGAGCAGCATCTCCTCATTCTCTGCAGCTATAGTAGGGGCGGCACTTATGACACCTACGTCGGCTCTGGCTGGCTGATCAAGGGCATGGACCAGGGGCTGCTGGGCATGTGTCCTGGGGAGAGAAGGAAGATCGTCATCCCTCCATTCCTGGCCTATGGCGAGAAAGGCTATGGTAAGGGCGGGCGAGGACGTGGCTTCTCCGGAGTGGGCTGCCACTCACGGTCACTCAGGTTGTGTGCTGCACAAGGGCACCCGGCCAAGGAGGCGAGGAGGGGTGACATCTAGCGCTTAGTGATCATCTCATGAAGAAGGTGTGCTTTATTCCGACTCACACAAAGGCTCAGCACCGGCTGGTGGGTGGCCAGGGGAAAACCCAGCTCAGCCTCACAGCGGGAGCAAGAAACAGGGCTGCTGAGGGCAAAGAAAGGGATCTGGAGAGCAGGGTCAGCAGCTTTCTGCAGGGTTCTCCCAGAGGCCCTCCTGCGTCAAGAAGGAGCCCGGGTTTGCTCTCCACCTGTATGGTTCAAGCCCATCCCTTCCCCAGGGACTGTGATCCCCCCGCAGGCCTCCCTGGTCTTCCACGTCCTACTAATCGACGTCCACAACCCGAAGGACACTGTCCAGCTGGAGACGCTGGAGCTACCACCTGGCTGTGTCCGGAGAGCCATGGCCGGGGACTTCATGCGTTACCACTACAACGGCTCGCTGATGGATGGCACCCTCTTCGATTCCAGGTCACTGGGGTCCTGAGGAGGGAGGTGGGGCTAGGGGGAGGCAAGAAGCGGTCACCTAGGCAGCAGCTGAGGGTGGCTGTGAGCTGCCTGCCAGGGCAGGGCCCCCTGACTCCCGTGCTGGCCTCCCCACCTTGTACTGCAGCTACTCCCGCAACCACACATACAATACCTACGTGGGACAGGGTTACATCATCCCCGGGATGGACCAGGGGCTGCAGGGCACCTGCATGGGGGAGCGCCGGAGGATCACCATCCCCCCCCACCTCGCCTATGGGGAGAACGGGACTGGTAGGCCTGTTGTACCTCAGCTGCTCTCCTGAGCCCCTCACTGACCTTCCCCTGCTCTGCCCTTCTCATCACAAAAACTGGCCACCCACTCAATTCCTGCCACACGGATCCATCCTTTTCTTCAGGACAGTCTCTCCACGGCTCCCCTTCCATACTGGAGAAGTCTCCTGAGTTTGGGGAGTGGGGGTGGTTATGGAAAAATAGAAACAGCATAGCCCTAGGAAGCAGAGAGACCTGGATTTGAGACCCAGCTTTGCTGGAAGCCTCCCCGTCCTCACCTATAAAATGGGACTAATCACCTGGATCAGCCAGGTAAGTTACTGGGAGGTCACGAGACGGTGTAAAGGGCTTTCTGACAGGCAGGTCCCTCCCTCCCCTGGAAGAGCTGATTATGTGGACAGACATCCCATCCCATCCCATTCTCATTTGAAACCCCAGGGCGGTTTCATGGAGACCTCCTGACTCCAAGCTGATCCACTCCCCCACTCTGTCCCAGGAGACAAGATCCCCGGCTCAGCGGTGCTGATATTTGACGTCCACATCATCGACTTCCACAACCCTGCAGATCCAGTGGAAATCAAGACACTGTCTCAGCCCCCTGAGGCCTGCAACGAGACTGCCAAACCTGGGGACTTTGTTCGATACCACTACAACTGCTCCCTGCTGGATGGCACCAAGCTCTTCTCCTCGTGGGTCTGGGGCAGGGCCGGGCTGGGCAGGTGGGTGGGCCCAGGTGAGGGGATCCTCCTCGGAGCACCCCTTCTCCATAAGCTCCCATCTAGGGGGGCAGAAGGGGCAGAAAGGGGGAGGGTGGAGCTGGCAGTAGGGAGCCGAGCCCTCTAGGCCACACTCTGGGGCAATGGCAGGATGAGAAGGTGTCCCATCCCGGAGCCGCAGGCCTGCACTCCGCTGCACGGGGCAGGCACCAGAAGCAGGCACGTGGGACCTGGGCCTGGGGGTGGGCGATGGGTGTGAATTGCTGTGGGACAAGGAAGAGCACTGACCTGGGGATCTGCACTTCCCCTAGGCATGACTATGGGGCTCCCCAGGAGGCAACTCTGGGGGCCAACAAAGTGATCGAAGGCCTGGACACGGGCCTGCAGGGCATGTGTGTGGGAGAGAGGCGGCAGCTCGTGGTCCCCCCGCACCTGGCACACGGGGAGAGTGGAGGTGAGGAGCAGAGACTGACCTGATCCACCCCTCTGTTCCCTCATGGAGGATTCTGTAAACACCCCATGTCCCCCTCTCCAGCCCCCTAGAGGGGTAACAGACCTGCAAGCTGCGGAACACACCCGCCGGGCCTGTCTAGACCCTGGCCTGACTGGGCTCTTTCCTTCTCTTCTCGCCCCTCCAGCCCGGGGGGTTCCTGGCAGTGCTGTGCTGCTGTTTGAGGTGGAGCTGGTATCCCGGGAGGAGGGGCTGCCCGAAGGCTACCTGTTTGTGTGGCACGAGGACCCTCCTGCCAACCTGTTTGAAGACCTGGACCTCAACAAAGATGGCGAGGTGCCTCCCGAGGAGGTGGGTGAGGAGTTCAAGCCTTATAATGACCATCCCCACACTCTCATTTGCATGGTGGCATCTGGTGAGAATACATGTCCAGCATCCTGTCCGCACCCGTCCTGCCCTGCTTGGTCCCTGTGCCTCAGGTTCCTCGTCCCTGCCTCCTCTCCCGGCACACGTGGCCCTGGCCCCGCGGGACCCCGGCACCAGCTCCTCTCAGACCTCACCAGCTGGCCTTCCCTGGGGGCCTTGCCAAGGCCACCCAGAGCTGCTCGGGCCCTCACCCTCCCCTCCCCTGGCTCCTCTCCCCCAGTTCGCCACCTTCATCAAGGCTCAAGTGAGTGAGGGGAAAGGACGCCTCATGCCAGGGCAGGACTCAGAGAAAACCATAGGGGACATGTTCCAGAACCAGGACCGCAACCAGGATGGCAAGATCACCATGGAGGAGCTCAAGCTGAAGTCTGACGAGGACCAGGAGCGGGTTCACGAGGAGCTCTGAGAGCCGATCTTGGGCCCGGGCCCAACACAGATGCCCGCTTCTGGGGGCCAGTGGGCAGTGGGGTTGACTTCCAACAGTCGCTGTCCCCTCTGCTGGGATGAGGTCTGAGAGCATCTAAAAGTGGTCAGCTGTCTTCCCATTAGCCGGAGAGTAAAATCCACAGCACAGACCTCTACTCGGGTTTTCTCTTCCAAACCCTCACCACTTAGAAATTTTGGAGCTACAAAGCCAATCTGGGGATCGGTGGAGTGTGGGGTTGGATGTGGCCATTGCTGGCCCTTCACCCACACCTCCAGTCCCCACCGAGCATGGCCAAGCTCATCATTTCTTCATTTCCCCACACTTCCCTCTATTTGTCCTTTTCCTCGCCATCACCAGTCCTGCCCCCCTTCCTGTCATGGCAGCTCCCCCAGGAGCATGAGCCGGGGCCGGCGGAACCCCCGTCTTCCTCCCACAGCCTTGGCTGGCTCCAAAGGAAGGGGGCAGCTCCAGGAGAGCAGCCCTAGCACCTACACCGTCCCCACGTACCTGTCCGGCCCCCACTGCGGGGGTACCCCCAGAGAGCTCAGGTCAGGGTCAGGGTTAGGGAGAAAAGGAAAGGGCGGGTGAGACCTGCTTCCATGGGACGTAGGCTACGAAGTGACCTGGAGGTAAACCTGGAAGGGCTCCCTGGGGAGGGGATCGGGCAGAGCCCTGCACACTCAAGGTAAACTGGTGTCAGATCTCTTTCCCTTTGTGGCAAATAAAAGACTAAACCAGAGGCTTCAGGAAGTGGTCTTTCATTGGGGGAGGCCCTTAGGGCCAAAGGTTGAGAAGAAAGGGGAGCAAAACAGGCTGTCTCTATGCCTGTCAGCTCAAGACACTGTCTCTAGGTCTCAGTCTCCTTCCTCCAGAGCTTGCTGCCTCCCTGAGACCCAACCCAGGGGCCCTAACCCTGGAAAGGGAGCCCCAGTCTGCCACAGGGAGGGTAGGGAGTGGGGGACCACAGAGGAGGGGGGCGTGCAGGGAAGGTACGGAGAGATGATCCTTGTCTCCTAACTGTCCCAAGTGCATGGAAAGACCAGGTCCCTGACCTCAAACACAACATACACAGCTCAAAGAGGAGATCGCATAGGTTGGATTCCACTTTCACATCGATCATTTCCTACACTACGATATCGCCCTCTCCCTGGTCCTGGCTGCCGGCCATCACCACCTTCCCGATCCTCGTCTCAGATGAAAGGTAACTGAGTTCAAATCTCCGGTGTCTTGGGGGAGGAGTTGGCCTCAACCACCAGTCCGGCCGTCTGCCCTCAACCGCCCTGCTGGACTCTCGCCAATGCAAGGGAGATGACTAAAGCATTCAAGGACAGGTGTTGGAGGAGGTGCTTGGGAGAGTCAACGATGGAAATGGTCACTGAACTGCCCCTACAAGCGCCGATTTCTTGCCCAGGATCTCCTGAGACGTGACCTCTCCCCATGGCCACTCCCTGGTCCCAAAGCATCCTGGAGGCACCTCAGGGCCTGAGAGTGGCTACAGACCCAGCCTTAGATGATAACCACTCCTCCCCAAACCTAACAGCGCAGCCCACGTGCAAGCAGCATGCAAGCCTGGCTTTGGTCAGAAGCTCCCCAACCCTAGCTCTGGCATTAGGGCAAGTTACTGGTCCTTTCTGGGCCACCTGTAAACTAGACCTACTTGCAGGGTCACTGTGAGGATTAACTGGCACACAGTTGGTACTACAGCAGGACTCAACGCACATTCCCAAGACTTTCCCCTTCAGATCAACAAACACGTTCCCGACAGCCAGGCATCCTTGGGGAGGGTGCAGGACTGACTTTCTCTGAGGACGGGCTAAGATGACACCAGGTAAAGCGGTTGGTCTCCATTTTTTCTACCCTAGAGAGAATCCAGCTAGTTCTTGACCATCCAAGTCAACAGGGAGGGGAGAAGGAAAAGAAAATTGTGAAGAACATCCCACAATACAAGGCAACGGAGCACGAACCACTTCTAGTTTCCTTTGCCATCGAGTGACTTCTCCCTTCAGGTCCCTGGTCTCAACCCTCACTTAAGTCATCCATTTTAGTGGCCCTGGACCCACAAGAGGGGGAGGAACAAGAGTCAAGAGCACAAGGGGAAATCGACACCCAAAGGGCCCCTCTGGGGACCTCTAAAGGAGGGCTCTGTGGACAGCACTGACCAGACCTGACTGAACAGCAGCATCAGAATACAGTCAAACAGCCCTGGCCGGTTTGGCTCAGCGGTTGGAGCTTTGGCCCACGGACCAATGAATCGCAGGTTCGATCCAGGTCAAGGGCACATACCTCAGTTGCGATTCATCCCCCATCCTGGTTGGGGTTGTGCGGGAGGCAGCCACTTGATCTGTCTCTTTCATGTCGATGTCCCCCGCCCCCCATCTGAACAAAAATGGAAAGATGTCCTCAGGTGAGGATAAAAAAAAAAAAAGAAGAAGAGAGTCAAACCATTCCAGGTCAGAAACACAACCTTCCAAGCCTGCCTGCCCACCCTGATCCCCAGACACATTTAGGCTGTGCTCAGAGCATCTCCTGGGCTAATTCAGTGGTTTTTAAATTGTGTTCCATGGAGCCCTGGTGGCTTCCCGAAGGTTCCTGCACCTCCAGGACCAAGGGTACAGAGTCTGCCCAACCCCCAAATCAGAACAGCTCTCATTTTTCCTTTTTTTTATTTTGATCTGCTTTACACATTCGATTTGTTTGAAGAATAGCTTCCCATTTTAAACATTTTTGAGTAGAATCCTGCACAAAATGATCCCTGGAATGCAAATGCACTGTAGGTCTGATTCACCTGGAATGGCTTTTGCAGCTTCCCACCTGGCAGGGCCTCCCTCAGGCCTTGGAGAACTCAAACAGAATGTGCCAGGGAAAGAAGGAGGGAAGGTGAGGACCCAGCAGCCGTGGATTCTCGGACTGTCTGTCCTCGGCACACCCCAGGCTCACAGCGGGCAGGCCCCTCCTCGCCAGGCCTGCAGAGACCGGCCCTGTGCCTGCGCACTCAGAGGCTCTGCATCTCCACACAGCCCCCCCTCCTCGCCAAGGCCTGCAGAGACCGGCCCTGCGCCTGCGCACTCAGAGGCCCTGCATCTCCACACGCCCCTGGTGCAGGATTTGCTGCAGCAGTCCATTGACCACGTCCAGCGTCTCGTCCTTCTCCAGCACAATGTCATACGCGTCCATGTAGCGGTCCCGCCGCTCCTCCACCTGTCCGGGGGATGGGAGACGGAGAGTCCCTGAAATGCCTGCCCTCTACCCACTGCCTGACTCTCAAGCACCTGGGGCTGGGGGAGCAGTGCATTCAAGCCACACATCCCCTAGAGTTCAAATCACAGGGGCTGCCTTTTGAGATATTGCCCAGCCAGTGTGGCTCAGTGGTTGAGCATGGACCCATGCACCAAGAGGTCGCCGATTCTTCAGGGCACATGCCCAGGTTGTGGGCCAGATCCCCAGTTGGGGGCATGCAGGAGGCAGCCAATCGATGTTCTCTCTCATCGATATGTCTATCTCTCCTCCCCTCTCACTTCCTCTCTCTCTAAAATCAATAAAGAAAAAACAAAAACAACCCAGACGTTACCTCTAGCCTGTCTGGACTGAATTTCCACAAGACTCAAGCACTCCTGGGGACTTAGGCACGTGCTGGCCGAGGGCAGGACTGGCGGCCTCCAGCTGATGCCGTACTGTTTTCACCCCTCTTGGCCTCTGGTCTGTGCTCGTATTTTTCTTCTCTGAATTGGACACCCACATCCTCAACCATCGACATCTCTCATCTCAATCATGCCGTACAGGGATGATTTAGGAGGACTGGTAATCAGCCTGCCCTTTCCTAAACTGTCACCTTGGGCAAGTTATTTAACCCCCTTGCCTGTTTCTTCATCTGTGCAACAGTGTTGTAAAGATTAAATGGGTCACGTTCCTGGCACATGGTGAGCACTCAGCAGGAGTGGGCGCCAATGGCGCCAATGAAATGCCTGGCATTACCCCATCTCTGAACCTGTTCATTGCTGGGTATCTTGCTTTCCTATGAGAATATGGAGCATTCTCCTGGGAATACAGCCTGCGTCTTCCCCTGGCCCTCTGATACTTCATGCAGGGTCTAGCACACAGAAAGTGTTCGACAAGCATTTGTGTACAGGAACTGAAGGCGAAGCCAGCCATGAGGGAGGAAGCCCTGGTCCCCTACTTACCTTATCGTTTAGGAAGCCAATCTTGAGAATGTTCTCCACATCAGGAACCCCATCGGCCATGGTGAGGTCCCCCATGGAGTCTCCCAGCAGGAGGATGTTGGTTTTACCCTGAAGCTGCTGGAAGTAACCGGAGTTCTCGCACACGGAGCTGTTCTTGTTGTATGTGTGTATAAGCTGGCCCTTGAATCCCTGTAGGAAGCCCTAAGTGGCCAAGAAAAGACACAGACACAAGGGCTACAGGGACCCATCCGGCGCCAGTTTCCCACTGTCTCGTCACAGAGGAAAGGAAACCCTGAAAGCCACAGATAACACCAAACCTCACTGTAGTCTAAACTGGGGGTCGGCAAAGTAGAGCCCATGGGCCAGACCTGGCCCATTTGTTTACATCTTGTCTCTGGCTGCTTTTCTGCACAGCAGAGGTTGTATGGCCCATACAGCCTAAGACACCTGGCCTTTTACAGAAAAGGTTTATAAGCCCTGGTTGAAACTTTTAAACTAACAAGAGCCATCATATACTGTTGGTCAGTGCCCTGGTTGGTTTGGCTCAGCAGTTAGAGCGTCGGCCCTCGGACCAAAGGGTCGCAGGTTTGACTCCTGGTCAAGGGTGATACCTAGGTTGCAGGTTTGATCCCCGACCCCAATTGGGGCCCTGCGGGAGGCAACCAATTGATATGTCTCTCTCACATCAAGGCTTTCTCTCTCTCCCTCCCTCCCTTCCATTCTATCTAAAAATAAATGGAAAAATATCCTTGGGTCACCTACTCTGGGGGAAGCACGAAACCTGTGATACAAGCGTTGCTCAGGTTACACATGTTCTAAGCGTCAGCTGTGCGCCATGTCCTAACCATAAATCAAAGGCATGAAATTCTGGCCACTGGTTTTGAGGGAGAAAAATTAGAACATGGGTGAGTCAGAGCAGCCCACCTCCGCCTCTAACAACAAGGCGAGCCCTGGCCGGTTTGGCTCAGCGGTGAGAGCGTCAGCCTGCGGACCAAAGAGTTGCAGGTTCGATTCCAGTCTAGGGCACATACCTCAGTTGCGGTTCGTCCCTGGCCCTGGTGCGGGAGGCAACCAGTCAATGTGTCTCTCTCATGTCAAATGTTTCTCTCTCTCTGTCTCTCTCTCTCCCCCTCCCACTCTATCTGAAGATATTTGAAAAAAGTATCCTGGGGTGAGGATTAAAAGAAAAACAGAGCTTTAAAATAAAAAAATAAAAACAAGGCGAAGTCCAAGCCCTTGAGTACCTAGGATGGCCCGTGACCCATGACAGTGATATGGGGCCTGGACCTAAACTAGGTCCCCCATGGCAGAGACCTGACTGTTGGCCAAACAACAAAGAACAGGTCCTTCAAAAGTAACTGTCTTGCTCTAGCCGGTTTTGCTCAGTGGTTAGAGCATCGGCCTGTGGACCAGAGAGACCTGGGTTCGGTTCCTGCTAAGGGCACGTACCTCAGTTGCGGTTCATCCCCGGCCCCAGTTGGGATTGTGAGGGTGGCAACCAGTCAATGTGTCTCTCTCATGTTGATGTTTCTCTCTCTCTCTCTCTCTTCCTCCCTTTTATTTATTTATTTATTATTTTAAATATTTTTTCTTTATTGATTTTTAGAGAGAGAGGAGGGGAGAGGGAGAGAGCTAGGAACATTGATGAGAGAACATCAACTGGTCACCTCCTGCATGCCCCCCCCCTGGGGATTTGGCTGACAACCTGGGCATGTGCCCTGACCGGGAATCGAACCGGCGACCTCTTGGTACATGGGTCAACACTCAACTACTGAGCCATACCGGCTGGGCTCTTCCTCCCTTTAAAAAATAAAAATAAAAAAAAGTAACTGTCTTTAGCCCTGGCTGGTTTGGCTCAGCGGTTAGAGCATCGGCTGGTGGACCAAAGAGTTGCGGGTTCGATTTTGGTCAGAGGCACATACCTCAGTTGCGGTTCGTCCCTGGCCATGGTCAGGGTCATGTGGGAGGCAACCAGTCGACGTTTCTCTCTTTCCCTCTCTCTCTCCCCCTCCATCCCACTCTAACTGATGATAATCCTTGGGTGAGGATTTAAAAAAAAAGTAACTGTGTTTAGTGGGCATAAATAAATAAATAACTGCCTGGGGACAAAGACATCAGCATGCCTGCCCCTTCCTTCCCTCCCCAGGATAGGGTTAATGTTTAGGGTGAAGCGCCCTGGCTGGTGGTTCCCACCCTCGTCCATTCCCAGCCCAAAGAGATTTGGCTCACATCTTCGTCAAAATCCATGTAGTTAGACACAATGTGGATGTTGGGATGAAACACTTTCATCTGCCGGATAATTTCTTCCAGGATATCACCAATACCCGCGGAGAAGATGAAAAGGGGGATGTTATTTTGGTAGAGGGTGTTGAAGAACGCCTTGTATCCGTCCCTGAAGAGAGAAATGGGTTCTGAAATGGCGCTGCCTCTACTACTGTTCTCTATTTTCTACTTGGGTTATATATTTTTATATTAAAAAAAAAAATTTTAATTAAGGTACAAAATACGTATAGTAAGTGATTAAAGTGTACTAATCTTGAGTGCTCAGCTCTGTTAATATTGACATATGTACACACCCATGTAATTACCAGCCAGGTTAATGTTCCCTCCTGTCCCTCCCAGGCAACGCCATCCTCCCCTATTCTGACTTCATATCACCGATGAGCTCTGCCTGTCCCAGAACTTCATATGAATGGGTTCATATTTTTTTTGGTTGTTGTTTCTGTACTACAGTTGACCCCTGAATAACAGGAGGGTAAGGGGTGCTGACCCCTTGTGCAGTCGAAAATCCATGTACAACTTTGGACATCTCAGAAACTTAGCTACAGTTGTCCTTCACTATCTGCAGAAGGATTGTTTCCAAGATCCCTGTGGACACCAAAATCCAAGACTGCTCAAGTCCCTTATATAAAATGGCATAACCTTGGTCGCTGTGGCTCGGATGGACATGGTCCTGTGCACCAAAAGGTTTCTGGTTCGATTCCCCATCAGGGCACCTGCCTTTGTTGCGGGCTCGATCCCCAGTAGGGGGCGTGCAGGAGGCAGCCGATGGATCTTTCCCTCTCACATTGATGTTTCTATTTCTCTCTCCCAAAAAATCAAATGAAAAATAAATTAATTAATTAAATAAAATGGCGTACAGCAATGCATTCAGTTGGCCTCCACATCTGTGGACTCCTAACTGCAGGTCAAAATACTGTGTTCAATCTGAGGTTGGCTGAATCCACAGACGTGAAACTCAAAGGGCCAACTGTACATTTATTTAAAAAAAAATCCACATTTAAGTGGATCCGCACATTCAAACTTTTGTTGTTGAAGGGTCAACTGTACAGGGGCAGTCTCCTGGGGCAACTCACCCTAGTACTTACTGGTCTGCACACATCTCTACTCTCTTAGTTTTTCATGAGCTGGCCTCTCTCCCCAGTTAGGGCACACGATCCTTAAGGACAGACACACATGCTGACTCCTTCCTCTATGTGCCCCCGTCCCTCCTCCAGTAAAGAATGCGCCAGCAGAGACTGCTGCACTGTGGGGGCTGTCCACGATCAAGGGTCCCAGGCCAGCCAATTCCCGTTCCTGGATAAAGAACACCAGTCAACATGGTAACCCCAAAAGTCTTTTTACCTTTGGGAAAAATGAGCTAAATGCTGTTTGTTCTAGGAGATGAAGCCTTGCTCACACTCACACTACATCCACAACCAGCAGACTGCTCCCTAGGAAGCACCCAAGGTAGACAATCCTTCAGGTGTATCCAGAGAGGGAAAGCAAGACCTTCCCCACTTCAGGTGCTCATGGTTAGGTCTGTTCTAAGTCTACCAGCAACTAACTCCTCTCCATTCCTTCCAGCCTCTTTTTGTGAGCAAACCAGTTTCAAATGTTTTCCAGAGCAAGAAGCTTACCTAAGCATTGCATTGGACTCGCTAACCACCTGGGCTATCTGAGACTTCTGAATCTTCTGCTCACACAGGAGATCATGTGCTTTGGTCCACCTAGAAACAAACACCCCACAAAACCCCAAATTCAAATCACGAAGTAAAGTGACCTTTCCCTTTTCAGGGCCAAGTCCCCTCTGGAAGTATTGACAATGGAGGTGGCCGCATCCTTTCTACAGAGTCATTTCCTGGAGGACCCTTAAAAAAAAAGAGGGTGAGCCCTGGCCACTTTGCTCAGTGGTTAGAGTGTTGGCCCATGGATCAAAGAGTCGCAGGTTCAATTCCAGTCAAGGGCATGTACCTCGGTTGCAATTTGGTCCCTGGCCCTGGTGGGGGTCGTGCAGGAGGCAGCCAATCGATATGTCTCTCATGTAGATTATTTTTTTCTCTCTCTCCCTCCCACTCTATCTAAAGATAAATGGAAATATCCTCAGGAGAGGATTGAAAAAACAAAAGAGGGTGAGGAAGCAACAAAACGGAGAGACAAGAGGTGGGTGAGTTAACTGCTGAAGTCAAAGCTCTTCTGAATCCTTCCTCGGTGACCCCATGCTGGAGAACTGGGGCTCTTTCAGTGATACTGGTTTCTATTGGAAGGTTATCTCCCCAAAGCACAAATTCCCCCAAACCAAGGGGCTTCTAACTCACCCCAAGGATTCTTGGTGGGCCCCCACTCGAGCAGCAGTCACAGCAGCTCTGGGCGTGTCTGGACTCTGTTCTCATAGGTGGGCCTGTGGCTTCCGTTAAGGATCCAGTAAGGTAAGGAAGCCCTGTCATCGCATCCAAGCTCAGAAAAATCCACCCCCTCCAGGACCAGACCACCGCAAGGTCAGGAGCTCTCTCCACCACCATCACTCACCATTCCACCATATGAGGTAACTTCTCTTTGATGGTCCGGTGTGGGTCAATCTCAATTGGGTAATAGTGGTGAAGGAGCTTGTTCAGCTGGGTCATCCAAAGGAAGAGAAAAGCCATTAGTCCCTCAAGTTTTCCCCAGCAAAGAACTAGTGTTTCATATGAGAAAAGTATCACCTACAACTAAAAGTATCACCTACAACTTCATGTAAGGGAGAGACTAGATCCGCAGAGCTAGACACCCCTTTGCACTCACCCAGAAGTAAAGTCTAAGAATCAGCAACACAAAGGGCTTTGCCATCAGATAAGAGGGTGACTAGGATTTTGTTATTAACTAGCTCAGTCATCAGGGCTTAACCAGTAAGAGCTGATTTAACGCTGTGTATTCCAAAATGTGATACTTTCTCAAGTGGGAGGCAAGCTAACTTTAGCGGATACGTGGATAAACACTGTTTGGTAGTTGTGTGTTCATTTTAACGTACATTAGGAAAAAAAAAACTAGCACATCAAATTCATGCTTTCACAAATATTGTTTCTTTCTTTTGTAAGTTAATCACATTCATATCTTTAAAAGCAGGTCAATTTAAAAAAAAATTTAGTTCCCTGGCCAGTTTGGCTCAGCGGTTAGAGCGTCGGCCCGTAGACCAAAGAGTCTCAGATTCCATTCTGGTCAAGGGCACATACCTCGGTTACAGTTCATCCACTGTCCTGGTCGGGCTGTGCAGGAGGCAACCAGTCTATGTGTCCCTCTCACATCAATGTTTCTCTCTCCCTTTTTCCCTCCCACTCTATCTAAAGATAAATAAAAAAATATCCTGGGGTGAGGATTAAAAATATATATATATTTAGTAAAAGAAATATACAGATATGGCAAAACTCCCCCAAAAGTGGAACCAGTGGACTGCACTTTGGGACACAGCATGTTAGTGGATGACTCCATCACACTGCCAACATCAAGTGAACGACTGTACCAGCACCTGTAGGCGCCTCTTTCACATGCCAGAACTTGCCACCTTCTGGAGAGGGATCGTGTGTAACACAGGGCCCAGTGCCCAATACAAATGGAAATTGACTGGATGTAGAATTTTAATATATGCAAGGTCTCAGACTATTATGAGATCAAATGGAGTCCATGACCAAGGGTCCAAAAAGGGTTAAATTTACAGCAGATACAGAAGGTCACCTCCCTAGGCCCAGATGGTGCGGCTTAGTGGATTGAGCATCATCATCCCATGCACCAAGAGGTCACTGGGTTCAATTCCCAGTCAGGGCACATGCCCAGGTTTCGTGCTTGATCCCCAGTAGGGGGTGTGCAGGAGGCAGCTGATTGATGTTTCTCTCTCTCCCTTCCTCTCTATCAAAAAATCAATAAAAGCATATTAAAAAAAGAAGGAGGTCACCTCCCTAGAAGTAACATCTAGGCCGCAGTTGTAGTTCAGCTCCAGACCCAGAAAAGCAGCAAAACCAGGAGGGCCACACCAGGACCAGCTGCAATGATTAAGGACCCCCTGACCTAACACTGGCTAATCAGTGGAGACCACAATCCTGAAGAAGCACACCTAGAAAACTGATGAATATTCTGCTGAAATCCTCCCCTAAGATTCTTGACTGTAAGAAAGAGATAAGCCCTGGCCGGTTTGGCTCAGGGGTTAGAGCATCGGCCCATGGACCAATGAGTTAGGTTCGATTTCAGCCAAGGGCACATGCCTTGGTTGCAGCTCATCCCTGGCCCTGGTCAGGGTCATGTGGGAGGCAACCTGTTAATGTTTCTGTTTCTCTCTTTTTGTTTATCCTCACCCGAGGACATTTTTTTCATTTTTTGTTCAGATAGAGCGGGAGGGAGAGGAAGAGAGAGAGAGAGAAACATCGACGTGAAAGGGACACATCGAGTGGCTGCCACCACACGACCCAACCAGGGCTGGGGAAAAACTGCAACTGAGGTACATGCCCTTAGCGGGAACCGAACCCGGGTCTCTCTGGACCACAGGCCAACGCTCTAACCGCTGAGCCCAACTGGCCAGGGCAATGTTTCTGTTTCTCTCCCTCCCTCTTTCTCTCTCTCTCTCCCTCTCCCTCCCTGTCACTCCATCTGAAGATAAATAGAAAAAATATCCTCCGGTGAGGATTGTAAAAACAAAACATAAAAGGCTCAAGACAAAGGACCTGGCACTGCTGGCTCTCCCTCCCAGGAGCTAGTCTACCCCCTTCCTGGCCCCCCTTTCTCCCTACAGGTATGCATCTCCTAAACTCTAAGGGACCCCACGAGGCTTGCAACCAGGGCAACAATGGGCAGCAGCAGTCATCCCGGGCACCCCCCTGAACCTGTCCCCAAGGCCCCCTTTTCTCTGACTTCTTAGTGAGCCAAAGCAGGCCAGCTTCGGCTCATTTCCCAGCCATTCCTTGTTTCATTGTCCCCAACTTTAATAAGCATCCTCTAAAATTCACCTAGACTCATGTTGCGAAATTTTTCTTGCATGAAGTCAAGAACCCACACACGCCCTGGCCAGTTTGGCTCACCAGTTAGAGCAGTGGTTCTCAACCAGTGGGTTGCGACCCCTTTGGGGGTCGAACGACCCTTTTGCAGGGGTCATCTAAGACCATCAGAAAACACATATTTCCGATGGCGATTCATAACAGTAGCAAAATTATAGTTATGAAGTAGCAACAAAAATAATTTTATGGTTGGGGTCACCACAACATGAGGAACTGTATTAAAGGGTCATGGCATTAGGAAGGTTGAGAACCTCTTGGTTAGAGCATTGGCCTGCAGACCGAAGGGTCTTGGGTTTGATTCCTAGTCAAGGGCATGTACCTGGGTTGCAGGTTCGATCCCAGTAGGGGTCATGTGAGAAGCAACCAATTTAAATGTCACATCAATGTTTCTCTCTCTCTCTCTCTCTCTCTCTCTCTCTCTCCCTCCCTCCCTCCCTCCCACCCCTTCCTCCCATTCTATCTAGAACCCACACAGTACCAGCTGACTCTAGGCAGACCTGCTCAGGGCCAAGTTCTCCTTCCCATAACAATATGTCTTGGCCAACAAAGAAAAGCTATCCCAGTGTATTAAAACTAGGTCCACCTGAGCAAAAGAACAATAAAAAAATTATTTTTCAATTAATCTTCTAAGGTCTCTATCAAGAACCATATGAAGTAATATATGATAGTGACTCTGAGCAAAAAAGGGGAGTAACTCACCTCTTTCCGGCACTCCTCACTGATGATCTTGCTGTTATCCAGAATATCTGCAAAAATACAAAGCTCAGTTCACTCACCCCTTAGAAGCCATCATCTTGTCAAGCCCAACAAAGCAAGCTAGTATGTAACTTACTGTAGGAAGAAGGGCATCGCTTTCCATTATATGCAAACCTGCTCAAGGTCATGTCAAAATCAGAAATGACCTAAAATGCAAAAGAGAGATGATGCCTAGATAGGCTCCTCCTGATGTAGCACTGTTGTCAACCTGGGAGCATGACTATGGAAGTCTAAGCGCTCGCGTCCAGACTGTGGGCAAAGCCCTGGGGGAGTTAGCCAGGGCTACAGAGGGCAGGAAGACTAATCCTAGTTAAGACAGCGCTAACCCCGAGGAGGCCCAACGTTTGGCTTTCAATAGCATCCCTCCCAATGCCCTGCATCTATCCCAGTGATCCACATCTGCAACTTCTTGGGGAGCCCGCTGGCCTGGGCCAGTGTGGAGAATAAGTCCCCCGGGCCGGTGTGGGAGCTTTGTCTAATTAGAGGAAGCAGCATGATCTTATTGAGAAATCGGAACTCTAGGTTTTAGGGCAGGTGGGCTCTCTCCCAACGCAAAACAGGAGAAGCCCACCTGCTGTCCCTCAGGCCCTGGCCATTTCTAGGGGCTGCCAGCTTGCAGGTGTCGCAACAACGCGGGGAGGCACCGGGGCAGGACGCCTGCACAGCCACCCGCGACCCGCCGGCCCGCCCTCGCCCAGCGGTACCTGTAAGCGGTCTCGCCCGCCCCTGCGGAGGGCGCCCACGATCTCCTGCACCCGCCCGGGCTGCCGCATCAGGACCGTGGCCTTCATGAGGGTGTTCACCTGTCCCGAGACCCGAGAAACTGGCTGACCCCGGCACCGCGCTGGGCCTAAGGGGAGCCCGGGCTCGCCCGGGCCGGGGTCGCGGGGGTGGAGCGGGGGCTCCGGCCGGGCTGGGGGCGCCTACTGGCCGGAGAGGCGCGGTGGGGCCTCGGCGCCCTGCTGGGGGCCTGGGCGCGCCCGGGGGGTCGGGGACCGCGCCACGCGGTACGATTCCTCCTGCCTCACCTCCTCCGCCATGGTGCTCGCAGCCGGGTGAGCTGCGCCCGGCTGCCCAGGCCGCACTGCGCAGGCGTCGTTCCCGCCCCCGGCCGGGGACCGCGGGGCCGCACTTGGCGGGGCCCGGAGAGGCTGATGGCCCTGGAGCGCGGTGCTGCTCGCTGCGGGCGGGCAAGACCCTGGGTGAGGGCCCCGTGTTGAGCAGGGTGACGATCCCAAGGAATTGGGGTTACCATTGGGTGCCACTCTTTCTAGAGCAAAAATCCTAGCAAGCGTGGACGTTTCCAGGCTTGCAGTTTGCATGACAAAAAAAGCCGCAGGTTGGGAAGGGATGTGGAGGAGCCATAGAGTGAGTTCTGTTAAACATCCAGAAGGTGTTTCTGGACCCACTCCTCTGCAGAAGAAAATGAGTGACTGCCTCATGTCCAGAGGGCAGGAAGGCAGTTCTAATCAATTTTGCTTCTCCCTTCTGCCTCCTCTTTGTTTCCTTGAACTCCGTGTCTGGGGAGCCAAGTGAGGAGCTGTAGAAGAAGGTAAATGGGTGCTACAGATACACAAACTGGGCAACAGGAACCAGAATTAATAAAAACTCTTATATGGTGTTGGTGGTCACAGTCCTGCTCCCGGGACAAGCACACCGATGGGCCCTGCCTGTGTGGCTGGGTGGCTGAGATTCGACCCATGCACCAAGAGGTCACAGGTTCGATTCCTGGTCAGGGCACATGCCCAGGTTGTGGGCCAGATCCCCAGTGGGGGGCATGCAGGAGGTGGCCAATCAATGTTCTCTCATCGATGTTCCTCTCTCTCTCTAAAATCAATAAAGAAGGAAAAAAAAGGATACCAATGGAGGTGTGGGGTGATCTTCAGCCTAATAGTGTGGTGGGGGAGGGGAGAAGGAAGGAGGACAAGGACAGGAGAGAATTCCAGAACCTGAGAGCACAATCCTGAGAGTGATCTCACTGCGGGCCCAGGATTCTGGAACTTGGGCTGCCTGATGGACCCTTCATGAAAGATGTAGTAGGGAAAAGGAGCGACAGCTGGCTAAAGGGGCCCCCCACAACCCTCCCCGACACCCTAGGAAAACAGCCTCTCTCGGCTGGTCCCAGGGTGCCATGGAGATGGAGAGCACGGCGGCCTCCACACGTTTCCACCAACCTCACATGGAGAGGAAGATGAGTGCGATGACCTGTGAGATCTTCAACGAGCTTAGGCTAGAGGGCAAGCTCTGCGACGTGGTCATCAAGGTCAATGGCTTTGAGTTCAATGCCCACAAGAACATCCTCTGTAGCTGCAGTTCCTACTTTAGGTATAAACAGGGTTGCCGAATTAAGCCTAAGGGGGAATTGGGTGCATTTTAGACATCTTGGTTCATTTTTCCCAACCCACCATCTTAAGTTTAGGGACACTGTCAAAGTTCTGGGCTCTGTAGCCTGGCTCCTTTGTCAACTGAAGAGGCACAACTAGAGCTAGACCCTCTTCTTTCTGGTTTTCAATAGGGTTCCAACCAACTATTGGTGGGCCAGCTGCTTTTCCCCTTTGATTCTTATTCAAATCAACCTTTGGGAAAGTTGAGCTCCCATACTGGGTTTCCTACTTGAACTGAGATGATAATGCCACTTCGGCCATCCTATGCCCCTATCCCAGGAGAGGTGAGCCTGAACAGGGTGATAAATTAACAAAGATTGAGGGGATGGATGGGCAGGGGGAAGCAGGGAAAGAACCACAGAAATATTTGTCAGGAGAAAAAGGGGAATTGGGGTACAAACCATTGTAACCTGGGAAATGGAAGAGGGCTATTTTGTTTATGAGCTAAAAATGTTTGCGTAATCAATTCCAATCAAGATATGATAAATGTGTCCCACCTGTTGCTAAAAATTCCCATCTTGATCTACAGCGGAATCTACAAAAAGACCAGACAGCACATACTTTAAGCTTTGCAGGCCATACAGTCTCTGTCGCATGCAACTACTCCAGTCTGCTGGTGGGAAAGCAGCCATAGACAATACTAAATGAAAGCACACAGCTGTGTTCCAACAAAATTATTTATGGACACTGAATTATAATTACTATTATAATTTCCAGGTGCCACAAAATACTCTCTTCATTTTCCTCCCATTAAAAAATGTAAAAACCATTCTTACCTCATGGGTAATTCAAAAAAGAAGACCTGGGTGGAATTTGGCCCAGAGGCTGTATTTATAGACCCCTGCTCTAGAGAAGCATTTGATTTCTAAGCCCATATTCCCTGAAACCTCCTAGAAAAAGGAAGCAAAATATATTAGGGAAGGGAATTGTCTTGTTCAACACCTAGAAAACTACCTAGCTACCTAGTGGAATAGTAGTCATTTACTTATTCAATAATTATTTGAGTGCCTATTTTGTGACAAGCACTATAGCGGGTACTGGAAATAAATAAAGAGATAAAACATTCTTGTTCTCCTGAAGCTAATCTTCTGGTAAGGGGAACAGGCATTAAATTTTTAAAAAGTCATATCAGATTATAAGTACTAAGAAATAACAGATAGGGAGTGATGGATGGCAACTCTAAATAGTATTACCGCTTTGCTGACAAAGTTACATTTGAGCAAAGACTTCAAGGGAATAAAAGAGTGAGAAATACAGAGATCTGGGGTAGCTTTCCAGGCAGAGGGAACAGCAGGTAAAGGACCAAAGATGGAAGCATCTCTGATGTACGTATTCAAGAAAAACAAGGCCAGTGGGGCTGAAACGGAGTGAAGGGGAAGGTGGGAAGAAATACTGTCAGAGAGGTGTGACTGGTCTAGATCCCATGGGACATGTGTAGTCCCTGGTAAGGACTTTGTATTTTACTCTGAGTAAGAAGGGAAGATTTTGAGTTTAAGAGGAACACTGGTGCCTTGGATAAGACTAAAGTCTGGAGGTGTCAAGAACAAATTAGTTAGGAGGTTACTCCCAATCTAGACGAGAGAGAGTGGTAGCTTGGACCAAGGTGGTAGCAATAGAAGTGATTATGGACATGTGTTGATTGCAGATTATTTATTTTTTAAATATATTGCTTAAGTTTAATTTCCTTAATTACATTTATCTTTATTGTTGAAAGTATTACAAATGTCCCCTTCCTCTCCCATTGACCCCCCCCCTCCTAATTTCCTTAATTTAAGGGGTAGAATTTGGTGGGCAATGAGTTGGGACAGAAGAGACCTGGGTCTTACTTCTAGCTCTGGATCCCAGTTTTTCCATTCACAAAATGGGAAGATGGCCTAGTTATCATGAAGAGAAGAGTGACCAAAGTCAAAGTTCTTGGAAAAGTTCTCTTTCCCATTGTATAAAGAACAGTCTGCCCTCCCCCTCCCCATGCCGATTTATTCCCAACGTACTCTTTAGAAAATGTCCAAACTCTCAACAAGAAGTGGGGGAGCCCGGCCAGTGTGGCACAGTGGTTGAGCGTTGACCCATGCACCAAGAGGTCGCCAGTTCGATTCCCAGTCAAGGCACATGTCCAAGTTGTGGGCCAAATCCCCAGTGGGGGTCATGCAGGAGGCAGCCAATCGATGTTCTTTCTCATTGATGTTTCTCTCTCTCTCTCCCTATTTCTTCCTCTCTCTCTAAAATCAATAAAGAAAAAAAGAAAAAAAAGTGAGGGAGAACATGGCAAACTGGAGAGGAATGTTTCAGTGATTGCTAGTTTCTTTCCTTTTTCCAGAGCTTTGTTTACAAGTGGCTGGAACAACACTGAAAAGAAGGTATACAACATTCCTGGCATTTCCCCCGACATGATGAAACTAATTATTGAATACGCGTACACCAGGACCGTCCCTATCACACCTGACAACGTAGAGAAGCTGCTGGCTGCTGCAGACCAATTTAACATCATGGGTATTGTAAGGGGTTGCTGTGAGTTCCTCAAGTCAGAGCTGTGTTTGGATAATTGTATCGGCATCTGCAAGTTCACGGACTACTACTACTGCCCAGAACTAAGGCAGAAGGCCTACATGTTCATACTGCACAACTTCGAGGAGATGGTGAAAGTCTCAGCAGAGTTTTTGGAGCTCTCAGTCACTGAGCTGAAGGATATCATTGAGAAAGATGAGCTAAACGTCAAACAAGAAGATGCTGTATTTGAGGCCATTTTAAAATGGATTGCTCATGACCCCCAAAATAGGAAGCAGCATATTTCAGTTTTGCTCCCCAAGGTCAAGTTTAATTATTTTTGTGGGATGCTTAATTGCTCACTTTGGATTCATTTATCCCAAAGGGATTGTCCTAAGAGCCATATTCAGATGGTTGACAGCTTCCAGGGCTGTATTTACATATACTTATATAGAAGGCATCTCCTACTAGGTTCTGGGATTTTGCAATTTTCTTTGTCCTTGGCATTGCTAGTTCCTTTTATTCCAGTTATGTTCTTTTATTTTTTTATTGATTTGAGAGAGAGGAGAGAGAGAGAGAAAGAAACATCTGAGGATTGGGAATCGAATACAAAACCTTATGGTGTATGGGATGATGCTCTAACCACCCAAGCCACACCAGCCAGGGCATTCCCCCACTATTATATTCTTTCACCAAAATTCTCCCTGGCTGTGGGGGAGGGAGAAGGCAAGGCTTTCCAACAAATTCTAGAGGGGCTTCCTTTTACCTTTGTCCATTCTTTTTTTTTCTTTATTGATTTTAGAGGGAGAGGAAGGGGGTGGGGAGAGAGATAGAAACATCGATGAGAGAGAACATCAATTGGTCGCCTCCTGCATGCCCCACACTGGGGATCGGGCCCACAACCTGGGCATGTACCCTGACTGGGAATCGAACCAGCGACCTCTTGGTACATGGGTGGACACTCAACCACTGAGCCAAGCTGGCCGGGCCCTTTGTCCATTCTTGAGTTTCCCCAAACCCGAGAGAGAAACTGGACTAGTAGCCATTTGGTGCTAATTCATGTTATTTTACATATAGAGACAGATATTCACTTACAGAACAATTACTACAGCTTTTTTTTTGGTCTAGTGGCCAAGGAATGGGTTAGCTTGCTGATCATTTTCTAGCTCATCCTCAGCATCCAAATGTATTTAAG